TCCTCAGCCGGAGCCTCTTCAAAGGGCTGGATCTCTGCTTCAGGGCCTCGAAGAGCACGGTGACCCCGCTCTGCCCCAAGGAGTTCTGGCCCAGGTCCAGGACCTCCAGCCTCTGGTTGCTGGCCAGGGCAGACGCCAGGTCCTGCCAGCAGAAAGATGGGAGGGAGCAGCCACAGAGCCCCAGGCATTTGAGGTTGCAACTCGGCTTCTTCAACGCCTCACAGAGAAACCACAACCCAGTCGCTATGGGGTTGAGACTCAGGTCCGAGAGGGTCAGGCAGGAGTCTCCTTGGAGAAAGTCGGAGATGTGCTTGCAGCCGCGTCTGGTTATGCTGCACTGACACAACACCAGGGTCTGTAGCTGACATTCCGGGTAACTCAAACCCTCGCTCAGCAGTCTCACCCCACCATCTCCAAGGTTGTTCTTGGCCAAGCACAGGTGTGTCAGCCTCTGGTTGACAATCAAAGTGGAGGTGAGCTCCTTGCAACAGACTTCCGTCAGGTGACAGTTTTCCAACGACAACCACTGTAGGAAGCAATTTGGGTGCCTCATACTCCCACACAGCAACTTGACCCCCTCATCCCCGAGCTCACTGGCTGTGAGGTCCAGAGATTGCAGGGACTGGTTGACTTTGAGGGCCAAGGAGAAGTCGTTCAAATGCTGAGTGAAATCAGAACAAGACCCCAACCTGAGATACTGCAAGTTGCACCTCCGGTGCTTTAGGGCCTCGCACAGCAGCAGCAGCAGCATGTTGTCACAGGGGACGCCGCCTTCCAGGATCAGGTGCGTCAGGGTCTTCTTACCAACCAAAGCCAGACAGAAGTCCCGATAGGTGTGGACCGGGGAGACGTTTTTAATCACCACCTTCTGGACGTTACAGGTGACGCGGGTTATCTGCTCACACAGAATCCTCACCGAGGAGTGACTCAGGAAGCTCTGACTCACTTCCAGAAACATCAGGTTCTCGTTAGAGCTCAGCACAGAGCAGAGCTCCGTCCAGCGACAAAGAGCACGATGGTCTTGCTGGGACCGCTCCGCCCACGTGCCTGGCTCCGAGGCCCCGTCATTCTCCAGGAAGATCCCCTTCTCCACCTGCAGCCAGAGCCTGCGCAGGGCCTGGCCGTGCCTGAGGCAGAAGGACGCGTGCACGAGGTCCCTCTCACTCTGCAGGTGCAGGGCCAGCTCCGTGATGGGCGCCAGGGCCTCCCTCACCAGCGCCTCCTCTTGAGACTCATAGAGGCAGCGCATCAGCTCCCGGGTGTCCGCCCTGGAGGAGAAGGGCCAGTCCCTGCTGCGCATCACTCTCAGCAGCTCCTGCCTGACATCCAGGGACACTCGGCAGCCGAAGGCGGCCTCCAGCTCCCGGGCCCTCTCCTGGTTGGCGAGGCCGAACAGGAAGTAGCCCACGGGGGTCAGGCTGGGGTTGAGCAGCCGCTCCTCCTTGGACAGCAGCGCGCGCACGTTCCCGATGTCCGGTGCCCAGCCGCCCGCGTCCTCTCGCTCTGCGCGGTCCAGCAGGTAGAACAGGGCGGCCAGGAACTGCTGGACGCTGAGGTGTAGGAAGGCGTAGCAGCCCTCGCAGTCCACGTCCGCCTGCAGGACCTTGCCGTCCAGGAAAGGTCGCAGGTCGGACTCGCTGACCCCCAGCTGCCCGAGGTCTTCGCCATCGAACAGGGACATCTGCGCCCAGACGCCCCAGGCGGCCAGGAGGCTCAGAGCCTGGAGCGCAGTGGGGAGGTGCAGAACGGGGCCCCTGCCAGGGGCCGCTGGGGAGCACTGGTTGCACAGGAAGCGCAGGAACAGCGAGGTGGGGGTCCGGCAGGTGGGGGCCAGGTCCTCCCCCTTCTCCAGCTGCCCCTTCAGACACGTGCACACGACCCAGCACACGGCGGGCGCCGCGCCCATGTGGAACAGCGCCGGGCTGCCCTTCATGCTCTCGAAGGCACGGAGGGCCTGGTCCTGCTGCTCAAAGTGCTTCAGGAAGTAGCCCCTGCGGTCCGCCTCCAGGAAGCCCTCCACCTCGATGAACAGCGGCTGGTCCACCAGGAGCCGCAGCTCCCCCAGGGCCTCCGGGCGCGTGGTGACCAGCAGCGTGGCCTTGGGCAGCAGCTTTCTCTTCAGCAAACTGCCCAGCAGGACGGGCACGGGCTTTGGCTTCTCCCAGTCGCCACAGATGTCATGGATGAGGGACCCCAAGGGCACTCTGAGCTCGTTGAAGCCGTCGATGACCACCAGGATCTTCTGCCCCTGGGCCAGGACCTGGGGGCCGGCCTCATGCGCATCTGGACACTTCTTAGCCAGGAGCTCCGCGAAAGTGCAGGGGCCCTGGCGGCCCAGCTCCTTGCAGCTGAGGTAGAAGGCGGAGTGGAATGTCCCCGGGAGGTGGTCCTGTGCCCAGTCCAGCATCCACTTCTTGGCCAGCGTGGTTTTCCCCACGCCCGCGGCGCCCTGCAGCACCACCGTCAGCAGCCTGCGCTGGGAGGAGGTTTTGGAACTGGAGAGCCATGTGAACTTCTGGCTTCCCCCGATGATTTTGTAGTGCAAGTCATCACCGACCCCATCCCAACATGTGTGCTTCCAGATAGAGCAGAATTTCTCCATCATGTGGCTCGGGCTCTCTCCTTTTCACCTCCTAAGGTGAAGGCTTAGGTCTGGCCTGAGAGTCTGTGCTCTTGACTGGAATTGAACTTGGGACCCTTCAGTCCACAGGCCAATGCCTTATCCACTTTGCCAAACAAGCCAGGGCTGTACCATTTGTCTTTATCCACTTGTCTATTGATGGACACTTAGGTTGCTTCCATATCTTCATTATAAACTAGGGGCCCAGTGCACGAATTTGTGCATCTTGAAAGGAACTGTGGGCCCTAACCGGCTTGGCTCAGTGGATAGAGTGTCGGCCTGTGGACTGAAGGGTCCTGAGTTTGATTCCGGTCAAGGGCAAATGCCTGGGTGTGGGCACATCCCCAGTAGGGAGTGTGCAGGAGACAGCTGATCGATGTTTCTCTCTCATCGATGTTTCTAACTCTCTATCCCTCTCCCTTCCTCTCTGTAAAAAAATCAATAAAATATATTTAAAAAAAAGAAAGAAGGAAAGGAACTGTGGGCCACCAGGCTGCGGTGGGCACAGAAGAGGCGGGTGGCCCATCCTCCATGCCCCTGCCCAGGCCCTCCCACCATGGCCCCTGGTCCCCTGTCTACCAGCAGCCCTGCTTCCGCCACTGCCGCTCCCATGCGCTGATGGTGCTGGCCCCGCTCACACCCGCTGATGGTACAGAGTGATTGGGGCCAGCACTGTCAGCAGGTGTGAGAGGTGGCTGCCGGCCCTGGGTCGCCCCTTGGTAACAGGGGGAGGTGGAGAAGCCCTGAGGGGCGATTGTGGCCATCAGCTGCCGCTCGCACCTGCTGACAGCACTGAGCGATTGGGGCCGGCGCCGGTAGCAGGTGCAAGTGCCCAGGGGGACTGCTGTGCATGGGAGCAAAGAATTTTCAGTAACCACCAGAGGCTTGCCCCGATGACAGCAACCGGCACCCTGCCTTGGTCTGGCATCCCTGCTCACCTGCTCCAGCATCCCACTGCAGCCGATGCCCGCCACGTTCTGCACTCTGCCACCTGCTGCCGACACCCACCATGGTTTGTGCGCACCCCCTGGTGGTCAGCACACGTCAACGACTGGTTATTCGGTTGTTCCACCGTTTGGTCTATTTGCATATTAGGGTTTTATATATATAGACTAGAGGCCCAATGCATAAAATTCGTGCAAGGGGCTCGGCCCTTGCAGCCGCAGCAGCTTGCCTCGGCCCTTGCAGCCCGAGCTTCATCTGGAAGGTCGTCCGGAAGGTTGTTCGGCTGTCCAGTCCAATTAGCATATTATGCTTTTATTATTTTAAATAATGCTGCAATGAACATATGGATGCATATGTCTTTTGAATTAGTGTTTTGGGTTTCTTCAGATGAATACCCCAAAGTGGGCCCTTCTTTGTCTCTTATTGTATAGCCTTTGTTTTAAAGTCTATTTTGCCTGATGTATTGCTACCCCAGCATTTTTTCCCATTTCCATTTGCACAAAATATCTTTTTCCATCCCTTTACTTTCAGTCTATGTATGCCTTTTGATCTGAGGTGGGTCTCTTCTAGGCACCATATGTATGGGTCTTATTTTCTTATCCATTCAGCCACCCTATGTGTTTCAATTGGAGAATTTAATCAATTTACATTTAAAGTAATTATTGATAGGTATGTAGTTATTGCCATTTTAGTATTAATATTTTGGTTTCTTCTTCTTTTTCTTCCTCTTCTTCTTCTTTTCCTTCTCCTTCTCAAGTCCCTCTAACATTTTTTTTTTGTAATACTGGTTGCTTGTGATGAACTCCTTTAGCTATTTTCTTATCCGCAGGCCGATGCTCTATCCACTGAGCCAAACCAGCTAGGGCAAGATCATTAATTCTTTTAACTAATTTTTAATGAGTAGCTATTCTGTGCAAAGCATGTAATAGCTTCATCTCTGTGAAAATCCACATGGCCAAATTTCTGCATGGTTAAGCTTTTCAGTAAGTGTGTTGCATAAATTTAAAATCTGTATGGATTTAATTTTACAAAACAACTAGGTGGTTCTAAGCCTTTCTAGAAGTCTTCTTGGGATGCAACAGTATCAATGAAGTTTTTGGAGTCTCTCTTACATTTGCCTGACTCTAGAATACACCTGAATTTATTGATCCATCTTATAAAATGAAGCTTGAAAAGGATTTTCTCCAGCTTCCTTTTCTCATCAAAATGTCCCCAAATTACCTCTACCTGTAGATATTCTGTGGCTCATTGAAAGGTGAAGTAAAGCAGATTCTCAATCCCCATCTCAGACCTGCTGCATCCGGCTGCATTTTAATGTGATTCTCATACACAGTAGAGTTTGAGAAGCACTGATTTAGACTTTGATACTTGGTTCACACTTGTCCCTGGTCCTTCTTTCTGAACAACAGAGATAAGGAGACCAGACTAGAGGTAACAGCTGTTTCAGAAACAGGATCTGTACCCAAGGATCCACTTATATACTTTTCCCCATACCCAAGCCCTGCCTGCACAGGAAGTCGGCCACTAAAGATAGGCTGCCTGTAGGAGACATAAGGACATGAGGGACCTCCAAAAGTTGTTCAGCTGGGTGAAAATGGGCGGGACAGGAAAGGGAGGAAAGTAAGTTCCCGGATTTCAAAAACCACAGTGTGTCTAGGTGCTACTTTCCCCCTTTTAGCACATAGTTTGTCATGAGACATCCGTTTGCTGCCTCTTTTCCTTTTGCATTTTGCCCCATATTAAAAAGTCACCATCTAAAACTTTTCTCCATAAATTAGAAACTTTAAGTTGTCTGGGACTGAATGTGCCTGTTTTGAACAGTTTCTGGCAGTTCCTTGCCTTTATGGTGTAGTCATGGTGAATCCTGAGTCATCTGAAGATGGTGGCAGTGCCAAATTGCTGGGGAAGGAGCTGCTGACAAGCCAGGACAGTGAGGAACTGGAGATCAGTAACCTTGGCCACGGGGGCTATTAGTCTTCTTTTCCACAGGAGAGCTACCCCCGTCCTAGTTAAATACAAATTGCTGCAAGCTTTACAGTTCTAATGAATACTTGCCTCCGGCAAGTGTGTTTAGACACAGCCCAAAGTATAAAGCATCTCCCCAGTTGTTTCTCAGAGTTCCAAGTAGTAACACCTAATTCTTGCATGTGCCAGGAATCTTCTTTTATAAGCTGAGAAACCACATTTTCCTGGTGAGGCATATATATATACCTCGATTTTTGTTTTAAGGTAATAAAGTTTTCTCTGGTGCACATTCATATACATGAAACAACTACCCAGTAAATACACCCCTCTTTTGTGTGTTTGTGTGTTTGTCGTTTCTCTAAAATTCTGACTCATAGTCTGAGGACAATGATTAATTTTTTTCCATTTCACATAGCTGCTATGAATTTCTCCTCACAAGGATGGGCCTGTTTACTCACTCCTGGCAGCGTTGGTGGAGCGCTAGTGTAAACTGCCAGGGGAACCCGGAGGGCTGGGGGAGTGGGCGCCCGGTGCGCTCCGTGGGGAGCAGGGATGCTGAGCCCAGGTCGGGCTGACCTCATTTAGAGACCGCTTTCTGACCCTCTTGGATTTGCGGTGTTTGCCAGAGCGGCGAGAAGCGCCATTGTGGTGCGGGTGGGAGGGGTGGAGCCACCAAGTCCGGTCTCAATTTAGATCTCTCACTCCGCTTTTAGGCGCGCCCATTTCAGACTGTTCAACTCCAGGCAGGGGGGCAAAAATCAGGGAGGAGGTGGAAGCCACACCCCGCAGTGCCCGCGAATTTCCCCAGGAGCCCAGGGTTGTCCAGGCAGACGCTGCGGAGATGCGGGGCCCACAGCTCCTGACCGCCGCCCACCTCGTCTGCGTGTGGACCGTGTGGACCGCCGCGCTGGCCGCAGCCCCC